AAAGAGGTAAAAAAAAAAAAAAAAGGAATTCCTTAATATTTTTTGAAGATTACCAAATGAAATGTGTAGTTCATGCAACAATAAACTCAGGCCTAATTAAAAGATTAGGAAACAGCAATAATCTTCTACTTGTTCTAAAATGATAAGAAATCAACTTTCTAAAATTTTATAAATACTACTTGGGATACAAAATGTATCAGCTTTTATAAGTTATAAAGAAACCAACTATAAATAAAGTTAAGGGCAAGAGGTGCCCAGGGACGGGTTCCTAACCAAGGTGTTATCATAAGATGAGCTGAAATTGTGTAACTTGGGCTCCGATTACTGTTTCTGATTCAATGCATCTTCCCAATACAATACTGAAGCTGGAAGTTAGGCCATAGGGCCTTATTTAGGCCTCATATTCAGGCAGTTAGTAAAGTAGCAAGGCAGACAGACTGCCTCCTCACCTGGGGCAGGCTGATAGTCACACAGATTTTAACAGTTACCAGGACAAATATTTGGAATACTGAGTCCTAAAACACAGAGCTATCAGACTAGAATGGAATGAAGATGTGTGTAAAAGAAAATGTGTTGAATGTGGTTTTTTAAAAATTAATTGAAACTACATAAGTAATATATAAACGCAAAAAAACCCCACATAACACAAGAAAATTTTACCGGTACAAATAAGGTTGAAGTACCTGTTAACCAACATCTCCAAATCTAATACCTTTTTTGGAAGTAACCACCATTATCAGTCTGAAGTGTATCCTTCTCATGTCTTTTTATTTTCCTATGCAATTATATGCATATCTTTATCATTAGACAATATATTTTATGTTACTGTTTTTAAATATTTATGGTGAATATACAGATTGTTCTGCAACTTGCTTTAGTCACTTAAGAATATATTGCTAAGCTTCTCACTGTCAGTAAATAGACATTTGTTGAGTGCTTATTATATACCAGTCATTCTTCTAAGCACTTATATATCTTCTTATGCACTTAGTCCTCAAAATGCAGTTATTGTGTTATGTTATTATCATGTCAGTTTTGCAGTTGAGGATTCTGAGGGACAGAGGTTTTGGCAAATTGCCCCATTTAGTGGCAGAACCACTGTTCTGGATTCTTTTCAAGGAAGACTAACCCCCGGACTACCTCCATGGTAACTACTTAACACCGCCCCTGTGTGATACATAAACCTGCCTCTAAAAGCTGTATGTATGACCCCAAAGCCCCATGGGCCCACCTTTTATGAACTTGCAATGACTGTGAATGATATGCACCAAGTGTCTCATTATGCTCAGCATTTCAGTGATAATAGCGCAAGCCAGGCAGCGTGATGGTATAAGGCCTGACGGACTGCTTTTGAGGAGAATAATGCACATAAGAATGCGGAGCAGACCCCGTTGTCATGCTGCTCCATTCCTCTACTTCCCCTGCCGCCTGTGTCTGAGCCGTGGGCAGCATTCCATTTACGTCAAAAATAACGTCAATCCAGTGAAAAAAACAGAATGACTCACAGCATTACTTTAGGGAACTGATTTCTGTGTAATATGATATATGGCATCCTAATTTCACAGAACATTTTTCATAACAGCTGCTAAAGTCATAGTCAAATCTATTACATTTCTTTTAAAGGATCCAATTCAAAGCAATAATGAGGCTATTCTTAAGATGCAGGTAGACTGAGTGGACTCCCACCCCCTTAAATACTCTATCATCAGCTACTTTATAGCTTTTCTGTATTTGTCTGTCTGTTTGATTCACTTGAGTCTGCTGTCCTTTTGTATGTCTAGTTGAATTTGAGTCAGAATAAAAAAGCCTGTTTCAGAGACTGGAGGGTCCAAGGAAGAACAGAAAAAAAAAAGGGAAAGGAAAAAAGAAACTTTCCTCTGATTCTTAGGGACAGCAGAGCAAAATGCCGTGGAGAGAAGGGGTAGAGGAAGAACCCAGAGTCTTGGGTTTATGAAAGCAGCCCTATGCTATTGACCAAGATCTGCGTGGAGGATGAACGGCGGTGAGAGACCATGGCCACCCAAGCCCTTACATTTAGTGGCACAGAGCTTAGAATCATTAGGCGGTGGGATTTCTCCTGCCACATCCCCAGCCACAGAACTGACCGATCATTTTTTTTAAGTAAGACTATTATCTCTTGGATAAGTAGAAAGCCAAACAAAAATCCCTCAATTATTTTTTTTCTCCTGGTACTATATGCTTCTGGGAATTGGCAAAGTTAGTCCTTGACATGTATTTTTTGTTTGGAACATAAAGTAAAACTAAAAAGAAGATTCAAAGAAAGCAGATTACTTACGACATTTACTTTCAGACTTGAGAGTGACCTTCTAGAAGGACAGGCTTCTGAGACTGAACTCCATCCAGCCTCCTCCACCGCTTAACTGTGTGATACAGTTAGAAGGAAAGTTCTAACCCTACAGCCTTAGTTTTTTTATCTGAGAAAGATGGGCGGGCTAGAATCTTTGTGGGTCTCTTGAATTATAGTATTCTGATTCTTCTATGGCATGATAGAAAAAGAGAGCTTCCAGGGGTTGGACAGATCACTTGTCCAGTACTGAGCAGCGTAACTGCTGTACACATGTCCTCCTGTTCACACAGCTCCTCTCACGCTCCTGGGGCGTGTGACTTGCGGGGTCTCCTGAGCAGCACTCCTTCTGCCTTCCATCTGGCGTAAGAGCTCTCAAAGTGAATGACCTCAGCTACTTTCCATTTTTCCAGTTTTTAACTTTAAGACTTTTTTTTTCCCAATTGGAATATGAGTTACTGATTTGTAATCCATGCATAACTACTATAAAGTGGCCCTGAGATCTTTGTTTTCAGGTACTTAAAAATCATTAGTCAGGTGCGATGTGTTGCTGGCCTCTTGGATAATGGAGTAAAGACACTGCTTTTCAGATTCCGGCTGACTGCATCTTTTAAAGATGTAGCGCCGTGTGTGCACTTGCGAGGTAAGAACCCAGTCAGCGGTAGCTGATACTAAAGCAGATCTACCAGATTGCCGTATGGGGGTTGACTGACACCAGTAATGGGCAAGTTACTGAACAGCAATGAAGCCAGAAGTCCCAGAATAAATTCTCTTATATTCTAAACCCTGCTAAGATGTAGTTCTCCTGTTCCCTTACTCTGTCCATGACCTAGTGATGGAGTAGCTACCACAGTCATGGATATTGAGTGCTATGTTCGGTCCATCCGGACCAGAATTCTATTGCAAATGGAGCCACGTTTACAAAAGTAGGATGAGCTTCCTCTTCAGGTCTTTTTGAAACCAAGTAACCAAAGCTGTTATTAAATCAACCAAACAAGAAGTCATCTGAGAAATTTTTTTCTGTACTTTTTAATGCCTCCTATGTGGAAAGCCAATGGTAATATTTCATACATAGCCTGCTGGAGAAGTAAACTTCCTAGACCAGTCACACAGTATGTGATTTTACAACTGAAAACACAACCCTACTGGCATTAAAATCTTATTCTAATAGCTGTTCAACACTAACTAAATTGAAGTGCACAGAGTAGTAGCTTGGGAGTCAAAAAAACTAGAACAATCACAGCATCTCATCAATTAGCTGTGTGGATAACGGCAAGTTACTAAAGTTCTCTGAGCTCAGGAGAGAAAAACATCTACTTAGCTGCTTATCTCTTGTGGCTCTTGTGTGGAACGCAGGAGACGGCGTATGTGACAGTAATTTGTGTCATAGAACGTAAAATCCAAGTATGAAACAGATAAGCTGTAAAATGTGCATGTAGGACAGTATATCTACAATAATTATAATATAATTATATAATATAATACCAAAATAATATAATGGTTATTATATTATTGCTTTCATCTATTTGGGGTTTTCTCATTTTATATGTAAATCAGAACTTGTAAAGTTAGTTCTCTCCCAATTGTCACAATTAATGAACTCTTAATGGGTAGCTGCAAGTTTAGAATTTAATGGAAAGAGGAAATTAAAGTGATCAAGGAGATTATTTTTTCTCCACTGATATGTAAAAAATGAAGGCTACTAATTAGAAAAATATTTAGCTGTTCTTTATATATTCCTGAATGATCTGACTTTTCTGAATATTCACTTTTCTTTCAAATACAGAAAATTAAAAGTCAAAATCTTCTTTAAATAATGTCATTCAGTGGATGTATCTCCTAGGGGAAAAATATGTTTGTTAGAATCATGGGCCAAGGGCTAAGTTCCATAGGTAAGAGAGGTGCAGGTGAGGCACTTACTTGTTTTAGTTTTGTAATATAATGCATTTAGAGCGCACTTTTATAATAACACTATAAGAAGGTGTTTCCTGGGGTAATGCTACTCTAAGAAATTGTTTTATTCTATCAATAGCAGTACTTAGTAAGATATCAAGTACTTAATAGAATATTAAGTTCTAAATATTTTTTTACAACTCGGTTATTTGCTTTGTTTTAATAATTTAAATCCAGAAGTACTTAATTATTAATTTCTTGACCATTATGATTTCATTTAATGAGTGCCACTCTGAAAAGATAAAAGTAAAACGATAAAGACCTATTAGTAAATTTTGCTCGAGAAAATTGACACTGATTGATGGTCATCTTTTGTCACCTATACTTGACCAGGCACCTGACTTCTGTAGGTTTTTGTCCTTGGGTTTCTAATCTCCCAACTTTAATAGACCTTCACCTTACATATTTGTTTATCAAACACTCCAGCATGCATACACATAAATAAATACAAATCAGTGATTTTTATAATTATGTGGTAGGTTTTATGCTCTTTGGTTGTTAGATTTTTGTTGTTGCCTTGCATATCTTTAGTGTCGTTTTTTTTGCCCTAAGCCTTTTTGCGTTTCTTCTAAACCTCCCTGATTTGTTGTTGTGGTTGTTGCTGTTGTTACCAGTAGACTCTCCGACAGGCCATCATGGCTGTCACCCGTTTCTTTGCTGGTATTGCTAAGATGTTGTCATCAGCGTGTGTGGTCTCTTTATCAATCCTCTCCATGACTTTTCCGCAATGTGCTTTTCTTAGACTTGAATGAAGCAGTCCCAGAGACAGAGCGCCTGGATTCTAAAGCCCTGAAAACACGAGCCCAGCTCTCCGTAAAGAACCGGCGCCAGAGGCCCTCTAGGACAAGACTCTATGACAGTGTCAGTTCAACAGACGGGGAAGACAGTCTAGAGCGAAAGGTGAGCACCCTTGACTGTCTTCTCACTTACAGTGTTAGGCCGTATCCTTGTTCCTACAGTCTATTGATTTTCTGCAACCAGATTCAATGACCTAGTTGGAAATAGCTGGAATAGTTTACTCTTTTGTCTCCAAAATCCTTACTCAACTCAACTGATACATTGTTGTAATTCAAATTCTTTCTGTTCTCATTCAGTGAACTAACCAAGAGCATTATCCATATTGTCGTATTTCGTATTTCATGATGGCGTTTTTTGACACTCAGCAGTTGGTTTTACCTAGCAGGAAATAATGAATATACAAGTAATTGTTTCGATATGCCTTAGGTGTCTCTCTTAGTTACAATGGTGATATGGTAAGCTGTTGTGAACTGTGGAGTCTCGTTGGTAAACCAACAAACAAAATTGGTTTTCATGGGTATTTACTTAAAAAAAAAAAAAAAAAGGTCGGTCTGATTTCAAAGTAAGTATTACAAGGACCTGATGCTCTTATATCAGCAGCCGCCAAACCGTTTGTATAACCACATGCATGTCACCAAATCACTTCTGCCCAAGGGTTTGAGAACCTCCTCTCCAGAATCAGATTCTGGTGCTCCCTCCCTCACCTCTGTGGCTGACTGTGTGCCGCTCTCGGAGTCCGACCACATAGCTGAATTTCAAGGCCTGCTGCACGCAGAAAGGGAGCCTTCCTCCTCCACTTGGGGAGATACTTCACCCTCCTCTCCTTCAAAATCTGATCATGATATGGAAGACTCTCCCTGCCGCCGTCAAGCCACCACCAAGAAAATATCAGAAGAAAAAGGTATGGTTAATTTTTTTGTTCTTCTTTCGTTTTGTCTAACTGCACTAACACCTTGATCTGTGTAATATAAAAATGGCTTTTTTCCTCAGAATTCTAAATCCTTTGTCTTCTCATAGCTAATAATTAATATTGCCTTTTTTGATTACATTATGGAACAAGAGAACATCCCCTTTCGTTTATTTATTTCTTTTTTATCTTTTCCTACCTGGTTAGTATTTTTACTTCTTTAGCTCTCCACCAGTTTACTAATAAAGGAAATTCTCCAGGAGGCCTTCTAGAGATTTTGTAGAGTAGTAGCCAAGTTTCAAGAAACACTAAAGTGGTCATATAGAAATATATATATATTTGAAGATGAAAGTGATATAGGTATTAACCTATTAATTTGGTTTTTATTTAGAAGAAATTTTCACAGTCATGACTTATATTGCAAAAGAATGTGATAGAAAGCTATGACAAAGATAATGCAGGGAGATTAGTCAATTAAATTCTTTAAAAGGCTCCTAGAATTAATACTAGCATTTCAAAGCAGTGACAGCAGATTTTTGTTTTTTAATAGTATGTTTTAATTTATAGAAGTCATAAATTCCTGTTTAAACAAGTTAAATGATGCAGAGAATAGTTTCATTCTCTTCCTACCGCAGCTGACATGTTCCTTTAAAGTAACCAAGTAGACTGGGTTATACAGCGACCCTTGAATAGTGTGGGACTAGGAACACTGACCCTCGCACAGTCAAAAATTCACATATAAATTTGACTTCCCAAAAACTTAACGACAGTTGTCCATCAGTATCCATGGGGGATTGGTTCCAGGATCCCCCGTGGACAAAAATTCGTGAATGCTCAATTCCCGTATGTAAAATGGTGTAAAATAAAGTGTATGGTTGGCCCTCCCTATCCATAGATTCCCAACCACAATCAAAAACACTTTTTAATTCATACACAAACACATACACATAATACACATACATACACACGCACAAGATATAAAATAAATATATAAAATAAATACCTTGATGTGTATAAGAGTGAAGTATCTGCAACTTACTTTGAAATGCAATTAAAAATTAATGGATTAATAGATGAGTAGAGGGATGGCTATATGATAAAAAAAATGTAGAAAGATGGAAATTGTAGAAGTAGGTGCGGGATATATGTTTGTTCACTGTAAAATTCCTTTGTCATTTAAAAAAATGAATAGCAAAAAAGAAACCTCATTTCTGTCCATACTGAACTAGAGACTCATTACAAAAGACATTGTGTGGAACTTGGCAACTTGATCCTAAATTTATAAGAAAGAAAAAAAGGCATAAAGTACCTGAAACTCTTAAAGAAGACTAAGGTGGAGGGCCTTGGCTTACCTGATACCTGGAATTATTTAATTCTGTATATTTTTATATGGAGAAATACAAATAAACTAAGAAACAAAACAAGGAGCTTAGAAGCAGATTGCATACACACATACAGATTTTATAACAGCAGCATGTGTAGATGGTGGAGAAAGAATAGTCTTTAATAAATTGTTTGGGAGAATTGGTCACCCATATTTTAAAAAACTATAATAGCCCTCCTCCCCATCACATACCATACAAAAATTTCATTCAAGGAAGATTCAAGATTTAAATAGATAACACAAAACTATACAACTTAAAAATATATATAGGAGAATATTTTGTGACTTTAGGATAGGGAAGAACTTCTTAAACAAGATGTAAAAAAATTAGATTGATAAAGTCAAATCATATTAAAATTATCAACTTCTATTTCTTAAAAGACACAATAAAAAATCTCCCAGACTTGGGAAAGATGTTTATGCCTATGTAACTAACAAAGGATTAGTGTTCAGATTATGTAAATAACTCCTATACAGCACTAAAAAAAAAAAAAAATAAGACAAATAGTACAGAAGTGTATAATATCCTGAACAGGCACTTCGTAGAAAATAAAAACCAAGTGGCTATAATAATACTTATGAAAAGGTGTTCAACCTCATTAATAAGCAGGAAAGTATGAAATAAATCAAATGAGATATCATTTTATACCCACCATATTTCCAAAAAGAATTAAACTTTGGCATTACCAAATGCTGGCAAACATGTGAAATAACCATGAATCAGATATTTGCTGGTGGAAGTGTAAGTTGGTACAAGCTCTTTGGAAACTATTTGGCATTACCCAGTAAAGTTAAAAATGTGCCTAACCTCTGACCCAGCAAGTCTTCACCTGTTGATGTAGCCTAAGAAATCCTGCACTTGCCTACTAGGAATCATGTATAAGAATATTCACAGCCCTGTTGCATAATAGGAAAACCTGGGAACAACCAAAAACCGATAATCACTAGAATAATCGCCAGTAGAACAGATAAATAAATTGCAGTGCAGGGTCCGGCAGAAGTGAGCCCTGCTTGAGTGTGGTTGGTAGGGTATGATGTGGGTGCAATAATGTATGTTTTAATTTGAACACTTCACCTAATATGTCATACAGTATGCTTGAGTGTGATATTGTTATGTTACAGATGACATGCTTATGATTTTGTAATAAAAGATATTGTAATAAAAAAAGGGGCCTTATTTGTGCCGGACTCTGTACATTCCTTTAATGAATCAGTGCAGAAGGGAAAATGAATAAACCACACAGAAACAGGGGCGAATCTCTGAAACAATACATTGGAAAGCAAATTACTGGTGAATACAGATGAATACATGTGATTCTATTGCTATAGAGTTAAACAAAGCTATCAGATTATTGAGAGATACAAACAAAATGTTGAGGTTATGAATGAGATGACAAAGAAAATTACTTAGTGGGAGTGCCAGGGAGTAGAAATAAGGAAGTACATACTGGGGACTTCAAAGTATAAACTACAGTGGGGGGTGGGGTGACAAATGAAATGGGTATTTGGTGTTTTTTTTTCTTTATATTCTGCAGCTATCTTATAAATACTCGATTTCAGTGGACAAGAAGCAAAGGACCATATATACAAATTTAATCAATAGACTTTAATAAACAAGAAGCTTCGAATAATTTTTTAAAAGTCAGAAATAGGCTAAAGGAATAAACTGTTGATTCATTGAAGAGAAAATCTGCATTATGTATAAAATACAAAAAGATGATCAACCTAATGATGGAGAAGTGATCATTTAAATTAGATACCAATCAAATTGCCAGTACCTTTAAAGAATCCCACCAGCCAGTGCCAGCAGTGATATGGGACATGCCCCTACATTGCAGGTGTGATTGAACATCATTGCATTTTTTGAAAGTCCATATTCATTTATCTCGACCAGATCACAAATTGTAGTCTTCCTACAAACACATGGTGAACATAGAAATACAGTTGGTTGTGGAAGCTCACTCTGTTTCACAGCTTTTGGTAAGCATCACAGCTTTACTTCCGATATTGGCTCTGGTTTTCCTTCCTGAGCCTGTCAGTTGCTGGAATTGTCTTTCACGGACGGGTCCTAAGCACAGCTCTTCTAGAAGAAGTTTTGAAATAAAAATTAAGGACAGTCAGTCCTTGGTACTCATTGGCTTCAGAACTCATCAAACTTGGTACTCATCACATTTTTTAAATTTATTTTTTGCATGTTTTTATTGTTGTTCAAGTACAGTTATCTCCATTTTCCCACCACCGCTTTCCCCCACCCCACCCACCCCTACCTCCCACTGTACTCATCACCTTTTGACAAGAAAAAACCTTTTCAGCACTCAGCGCTTGCTTGGGACTCCTCACACTTGCTAGAGCTTGTATGAGTCACGACGACGCCCCACAAGAGAAAATGCTTCATTGTTTGGTACTTGTCAGTTTCAGCGTGAGTTCTGGAACAAATTAAGAACAAATACCGAGGTACTGCTATACTTAGGGAGGACAATATACTAGTGAAAACAAGAGAAAATATGTCCAAGCCCACTAATTCATCAAAAGTGATTGTCAAGTTGGTGAAGGACTTGCACTCTGATTTTGGCCTACCTCCGAAGGAATGGAAGGCTTCAAAAACTCATTAGTTAACCTAAATTGTGGATTATTTTCATACTTTTTATAGAAATATACCTGTCAAGCTCTCTATTATCTCTTCAGAAAAAATATGCGTAGACCTTAGTTGGCCCATAAGAAGGCAAACCAGCAGAAGCATATATTTATTGGGAGCTATAGGTTAATACTTTGTGGTCCTCTGAGTTTATCAGGTATACCTAGGTCTTTGAAAGAAATTACGTATAGTCAGAGAATGATCACTCACACATGAAATCTGGCCCAGATATTTTTAAAGGGGGCCAAATCTTGTCTAGATTATTTCTCTCTGCCTTTTACTTCTAACTTATGAATCTTGGAAGTGAGCAGATGTTGCTTCTCAGGTTGGAGAAGTATTATATGGATGTGAATTGTCCTTTGCAGTCCATTAGCAGAACTGTGCAGTCAAACGTGATTAGCAATAATTAGTAGTAAAGGCCATTCTTTCCCCAGTGCCTCTCTTGATTGCTACTGCTGCTGCTTTGGGATGAAGTTCCCAGCTATACCAAACGGGGCCAAGAGAAGAGTGAGGAGTTTCTTTTCCAGAGACCAAGTACTAGAGCTTTCCCATTTTTTGATTTTTCTGGGTGGACTGTATTTCTGGGTAACCAGAAACAAGCAGTTAATTGAGCTTTTATAAAGTACTGACTTTAGCCCTGGTCGTGTAGCTCAGTTGGTTAGAGTGTCACCCAGATACACCAAAGTTGCAGGTTTGATCCCTGGTCAGGGCACATACATGAATCAACCAATGAATGCATCAATGAGTAGAACAACAAACCAGTGTCTTCCTATCTGTCTGCCTGTCTCTCTCCCCTCTTCCCCTACTTCCTCTCTTTCTCTAACACCAATAAATACAAATTTAAAATAAAAAAAGTCCTGACTTTATAGTTAGTTACTAGTATGATAACCGTTTTTGGGGTGTTAACTGTGACCAGATGAAAGCAGTACCTCATGTTCTTTTCTTCTGATAGAAGTGTCCACCCGTAAGTGTTCT